TTGTTTTGTCTCGATATTTCACCACATCATGGCGCCAGTGGAATTTTAAATGCACAGGAACGCATCGTTCACAAAGGGTTAACTGGCAATTTTTACAAAAATATTGTGCCCCGTTGTCACAGCTATCACAGTATTTACATGACTGGATCACTGTTACTGACATTATAATCGGCCTAGTTGCATATTCCAGGAAACACTCCGACAAAATGTTCATATAAATCAATATAAATCTTGTTCCGGTGCGTACGTGACGTAATAGTAAATCGAGATAGTGCAGCTTTTTTTTGTTTGAAATTTATAAAGGGCGTTAATGCTTTTATGCACATTTTCAAGAGTAAAGAAGATTTTTAACAGATAATTTTGATGTTTTTAGCCCCACCCCTCAGACTCCTGGGGGAAGGACCATATAATTCAATAATATTGTTTCCCTTCACTCATAGAAAGCTTTCTGTCAAAATTAGTTGGAACTGCTTCAGCGGCTCCAGAGAAGAAGCTGAAAATGTTCAAATGTTAACGTAAACTTAATACTGTAGTAGTTTGAAGTTTTTACATTTTGTGAACTACTTGAATTTGGAGTCTCTTCACACCACAAAAAAAAAAAAAAATGGAAATAAAATCTCCACGAAGTTTTGTATTTAACAGTATGAAGATAACACAAACCTTTGATTTACATATATGGAAGGAATGGGTTGCTTTCTTTATCAATTTATTCTCTATTCAGGTGTTATTGTCTATAGAAATAAGTGACAAGACGTTTTACGAGGGGTGTTCAATAAATAATGCAAAAGGTCATCAAAAAAATAAATAAATAAATAAATAAAAAAATTTAAAAAAAATAAAATAAAATAAAAAAAAAGCATGAAAGGCATTTTCTTTATATTTGTAATCCCTCAAAGTATTTCCTGTTTACTTTACATCTGTATTTAGTCTCTTTAGCCATGAAAAGTACACTTCAGCATACACTTTCTTGGCGTAGTTCAAAACACCTGAAGGACAGCAGCATTCTCCACGATAGACATTAAATTTTAACGTCTTCTTTAATGGTTTTCTTGAGATTTTTTTTTTGGGGGGGGGGGGGAGGGATCTCACGATGACTGATGAGATTTATGGAATGTGGTGGGTAGCTAAACTCTGTAAACGTTCCTTTCTTAAAAATGTCCTTTACATCTCTATGCTTATTTGTGGCAGCGTTGTCATGTACTGAAAGTTCTAAGCAGAGTGATGCTTAGCAGAATCATAGAAATTATATAGATCCCCTTCTGCAGAAAAAAAAGCAGGTTTAGGAAGGGAAGGTCATGTGCCTACCAGGTATTCATTCTCAGAAAAATATACTAGAAAATGAATAGAACTCTCCACTTCAAATCAATTTTATCGACTTTACGAAAGCTTTTGACAGTGTTAATTGCCTAACCTTAGAAAGAATTCTCAGTCATTATGGGATCCCAGATAAACTCATCTCCATCATTAAGAACTAAGATGCTATACACAGACATAAATGGCAGAGTTACCTGTGGATCAAGCATTTCAGAGGAGCTAAAATTGAATACTGAAGTAAAACAAGTCAGTTGGGCTATGTCAGAAATGCTTCAAGACCTAGATTTTGTGTAGGATACAGCTCTGCTTGCTCACCGACATCATGACATGCAAAAAACAAACAAACAAACAAACAAAAAACAACCAGCTTGCAAAAAAAAAAAAAAAAACAGGAAAGAATGGTCTTCAAATCAATAGCATCAAAACTAAGATCATGAAGGTCAACACTTAATCAGACGAACTCATCACCCTAAATGGTATAAAAATTGAAGATGTCACTGACTTTGGAAGTCTGCAAAGATCACCATAAACACCAAAAAAGTTTTCAAGAGTAATGTGCTTGAGGTCCTCCTGTATGGTGCTGAATAATGGAAAGTAACAAAAGCCATTACAAATAAGCTATAGATGCCTTATTTACTATGTAGAGGAGTGGGGAGCATACTAATTATTTACTAAATAGGGGAGTGTAACAATTATTAACTATGTAGAGGAGTATAATAATTATTTATTACGTACATATGTAGAGGGGTATAATAATTATTTACTATGTAGAGGAATGTAATAATTATTTACTATGTAGAGGAGTGAGGAGTGTAATAATTATTTACTATGTAGAGGAGTGTAATAATTATTTACTATGTAGAGGAGTGAGGAGTGTAATAATTATTTACTATGTAGAGGAATGTAATAATTATTTACTATGTAGAGGAGTGAGGAGTGTAATAATTATTTACTATGTAGAGGAGTATAATAATTATTTACTATGTACAGGAGTATAATAATTATTTACTTTGTAGAGGAGTATAATAATTATTTATTATGTAGAGGAGTGTAATAATTATTTACTATGTAGGAAAGTGTAATAATTATTTACTATGTAGGAAAGTGTAATAATTATTTACTATGTAGAGGAGTATAATAATTATTTACTATATAGAGGTGTATAATAATTATTTACTTTGTAGAGGAGTGTAATAATTATTTACTATGTAGATCAGTGGGGAGTGCAATAATTATTTACTATATAGAGGAGTATAATAATTATTTACTTTGTAGAGGAGTATAATAATTATTTACTATGTAGAGGAGTGAGGAGTATAATTATAATTTATTATGTAGAGGAGTGTAATAATTATTTACTATGTAGGGGAGTGTAATAATTATTTACTATGTAGAGGAGTATAATAATTATTTACTATATAGAGGTGTATAATAATTATTTACTTTGTAGCGGAGTGTAATAATCATTTACTATGTAGATTAGTGGGGAGTGTAATAATTATTTACTATATAGAGGAGTATAATAATTATTTACTTTGTAGAGGAGTATAATAATTATTTATTATGTAGAGGAGTATAATAATTATTTACTATGTAGAGGAGTATAATAATTATTTATTATGTAGAGGAGTATAATAATTATTTACTATGTAGAGGAGTATAATAATTATTTACTATGTAGAGGAGTGTAATAATTATTTATTATGTAGAGGAGTGTAATAATTATTTATTATGTAAAGGAGTGTAATAATTATTTATTATGTAGAGGAGTGTAATAATTATTTATTATATAGAGGAGTGTAATAATTATTTATTATGTAGAGGAGTATAATAATTATTTACTATGTAGAGGAGTATAATAATTATTTATTATGTAGAGGAGTATAATAATTATTTACTATGTAGAGGAGTGTAATAATTATTTATTATGTAGCTAGAGGAGTATAATAATTATTTACTATGTAGAGGAGTATAATAATTATTTATTTTGTAGAGGAGTATAATAATTATTTACTTTGTAGAGGAGTATAATAATTATATACTATGTAGAGGAGTGAGGAGTATAATAATTATTTATTATGTAGAGGAGTGTAATAATTATTTACTATGTAGAGGAGTATAATAATTATTTACTATGTAGAGTATAATAATTATTTACTATGTAGAGGAGTATAATAATTATTTACTATGTAGAGGAGTGTAATAATTATTTATTATGTAGAGGAGTGTAATAATTATCTATTATGTAGAGGAGTATAATAATTATTTACTATGTAGAGGAGTATAATAATTATTTACTTTGTAGAGGAGTATAATAATTATTTACTTTGTAGAGGAGTGAAATAATTATTTACTATGTAGAGGAGTGTAATAATTATTTACTATGTAGAGGAGTATAATAATTATTTACTTTGTAGAGGAGTGTAATGATTATTTACTATGTATATTAGTGGGGAGTGTAATAATTATTTACTTTGTAGAGGAGTGTAATAATTATTTACTTTGTAGAGGAGTATAATAATTATTTACCATGTAGAAGAGTGCAATAATTATATACTATGTAGAGGAGTGAGGAGTGTAATATTATTTACTATGTAGAAGAGTGTAATAATTATTTACTTTGTAGAGTGTAATAATTATTTATTATGTAGATTAGTGGGGAGTATAGTATTAATTTAATATGAAGAAGAGTTTGGAGTGTATTATTTTTTTACTATGTGGAGGAATAGGTGTCAACAACCTGATTATGAAGGTCAACAATTAAAGAATCTGTCTGTTGTTTTTTTAACTGTTTTTTTGAGATAATGAAAATTAATTTCGCAATATATGTCATTATTGCATTATCAACAGATAAACATTAGCAAACCAGATCCAGGTAAGGTGTTTTTACAAAAGTGGAATAATTCCGGTGTTGGAGAATACAGTAAAACACACTTATAGAGAACAAGCTTATAATAAATTAATGCTTATAGCCAAGTGATTTTCATTTCCTTTGACTTTAAAATATATTGTAAACTTAACAGATATAACGAATTATGTTTATAATGAAGCAAAATCATCCTTCCCTGGCACTTCGTTATAAGCACGTTTTACTGCCGATAGTCAATAGATGTTGGCAAATAAAAACTGAGCGCAAAGGGTGAGGTTTATATTTGCCAACAGAATCTCAGGACTGAGGGGTATATTCTCCAACAATTCCTCCCACGTGGCAATTATTTCCATTCTGCTATGGCAAATATTTAAATTTCTATACAGAGAAATGCAGAAACTAGATTTTCATCATAAGTGTCTTATGACGTCATAATTGAATGCTTTCCTTGTTCACTTGTATTTCAAGAATTAGAGTGAGTAAGATGTAATCCGAACCCAAAGTATATTTTTCCCACCAATGTGCATCACAATCAAAAGATACCTCTGTTCTTTTCCTAGTGAAGGCAGTCAAATAAGAGGAAACCGAATCAAAATTATCGATAATTTGTTGATGATTGTTGAAGTTGTGATTTATTGGAGAATAATGACCACGGCTTCTCTGGTCTTTGCAATAACTGTAGTAGAATTAAGAATAACTGCCAACCTCTACTCTACTCTAGCAGATTGTAGAGGATAGATATAGGTAATCAATTTCTAGACATACAAAGGTAGAAATGATGATAAAGGCAACTTTTTACTTGTGATAAACACTTTATTTGATTTGTCAGTTTACTAAAGATGTACATAGATCTCACAGAGAAGTCAATAAATATATTACAAGAAAATACTAGGGGGAAAACAGCACTATGATAACCTCATACAGCACAAATATTTGTCTATTTCTTCACAAAGAAAGATGATATGGACATCTGTTTCCTACTTGCTGTGGAGGGAGGGGACTTTTTCTTTGGTGAAGCCTTTTTCTTCTACAATTTAAAAAAAATAAAACGTATCAAATTTAGTTTATTATTTCCATGAAATGTTGATACAAAAAGTTTGATTCTCAAACTTATTAAACTGGAAATACATGTAATATAATGTTAGTTTTCCAAGAAATATGGAGTCATTTTGAGTACTGTAGTACTGTACTATTTATATGAGGAATTCATTATTGTGTAATTTTGCTTTCATTCCAATTGCTGAAATTCATGTAAAAACTTCATCAACAGCCCACTCCAAATTTAATGATTTTGAATTCTGATGTTTATAAATTATTTTGCAATAATAGGTACTTGTTTATATAAAGGATTCTTCAGTTTTTATTTTTAGGGACAATTCACACCTGTGGGGAGGCAGCTTTGGGCGTGTCCTTTACAGGGGGAGGAGGCTCTGTGTCCGAGGCATCCGTAGATTCACTCTCCCATACTTTCTCTGTCACTGAAAGATAAACACACTTCACTGTACTCAAAACTTACACGTATTACATTGTATCAATAACATCTGAAAAATAAAAGTGACAATGAAAGAAATATGTGGAAAACAAATATATTTCAATCTATTGGGACTTATACCCCCCCCCCCCTCCCAACTGCCCAACTTTCTACCTTGAACTTTCTGTAATTAATGGAAAATTTTAAGAGGAAATATTGTCTGAAATCCTTGTTTTTTTTCATTGGTTTTATTTATATTTTTTTACAATTAATATTTTTGAAATAATAAAACAAAATAAAAAAAAAAACGACAACACAATCTAAGAACACATACCCATGAAACCGTCGTCATCCATGAATGTTTTCGGGACCAACTTCCGCCTCCGTACTCGGTGCCTTTCTCCATTCTGCGCAGGTTTCACAGAATTTTCCTCCTTTTTAGGACTCTCTTTCTCAGGAGAATCAGGGACAGGGGAGGGTTCCCTTGGTGGGCTGGGAACAGGGCTAGGGGCTGGACTCTCGTAATCCATCTCTAAATTGAAACTCTCAAGGTTTAACAATTTACAGTAAAATAGACTACTATAGTGAACTTATTTCAGAAGCTTTATTTTGTGAACCAACAAGAAAAATCAGAATCAATTCTTAAACTCCTTTATCACTCATCATATTACCTTCTTCACTGCTATCAGACACGTCCATTCTTATTCTCCTCCTCTTCTTCTTGCTCTCTTCTTCATCTTCAAAAAAATCATCAGTATTACCAAAATAAAAACATCAAAGGTCAAAGTATACAACCAGTGCTACATCAAAGGTCAAAGTATACAACCAGTGTTACATCAAAGGTCAAAGTATACAACCAGTGTTACATCAGAGGTCAAAGTATACAAGTGTTTTGGATCCATACATATGGATTAATAATTTTAGCTATGAAACAGTTTTTTGGATTACCTGACTCTGCATCTCTTGTCTTTTTTGACCTCTTCCCTCTACCATTTCTAAACAAAACATTCATGATGTATTAAAAAGAAAACACAAGTCTATCCACTTGTATTTCTATGCTCTGTCTTCCAAACAGGTTATTATGACATCAATACATTCAACGTTTGATTTTTTAATAAAATAATTTGGAATTTATTTTCCATTTCTTAAAATTCTTATCTCGGTATAGGAGTAATTATGATAGTAATTTATAGGTAGAGTGGTTCTTCCTCTGTAGATATTAAGTTCAGTTGAACTTTGGTATCTCGTACACTGATATCTCAAATACCATGGATATGTCGAGTCCCAACCACTTATTCCTTCAGTATTTTACACTGGATATATCGAATCCTCGGTTATCTCGAAGTATTTTCTTGGTCCCTTCAAGTTCGAGATAATGAGGTTTGATTGCATATTGCTCACTGTTTTGTAGATATTGAGTATATTGCTCACTACTTTTGTAGATACTGAGTATATTGCTCACTGTTTTGTAGATATTGAGTATATTGCTCACTACTTTTGTAGATATTGAGTATATTGCTCACTATTTTGTAGATATTGAGTATAATGCTCGCTGTTTTGTAGATATTGAGTATATTGCTCGCTGTTTTGTAGATATTGAGTATATTGCTCACTGTTTTGTAGATATTGAGTATATTGCTCACTGTTTTGTAGATATTGAGTATATTGCTTACTGTTTTGTAGATATTGAGTATATTGCTCACTGTTTTATAGATATTGAATATATTGCTCACTGTTTTGTAGATATTGAGTATACTACTCACTGTTTTGTAGATATTGAGTATATTGCTTACTGTTTTGTAGATATTAAGTATATTGCTCACTGTTTTGTAGATATTGAGTATATTGCTCACTGTTTTGTAGATATTGAGTATATTGCTCACTGTTTTATAGATATTGAGTATATTGCTCACAGTTTCGTAAATATTGAGTATACTACTCACTGTTTTGTAGATATTGAGTATATTGCTCACTGTTTTGTAGATATTGAGTATATTGCTCACTGTTTTGTAGATATTGAGTATATTGCTCACTGTTTTGTAGATATTGAGTATACTACTCACTGTTTTGTAGATATTGAGTATATTGCTCACTGTTTTGTAGATATTGAGTATATTGCTCACTGTTTTGTAGATATTGAGTATATTGCTCACTATTTTGTAGATATTGAGTATATTGCTCACTGTTTTGTAGATATTGAGTTAATTGCTCACTGTTTTGGTGGTGAATCCTTTTTCTTCTCATCATTTCTTTTGTCCTCTTTCTGGACTTCTTCACTTTTTGGTGCACCCTTCTTCCCTAAACATACAAGTATATACAGTTTGTCTGCTAGATAATAAACAGTAATGATTTACCTCATCTTTCAGTTTTGTCTTAAAAGTGACATATGAACATACCTATGTGTTTTACCTGTTCTATTTAAACATACGTATTTGTTTTTCCTGTTCTATTAAAACATACCTGTGTAATTAACCTGTTCTATTAAAACATACCTGTGTGATTGGCAAAGAAATTCATTACACCTCCCTTCTTTGAATCCTAAAAGAATATGACAAAATATAATTCTGGTAGGTCTGTGTTTGTTATCAGACAATTATTAGCAAAATCACTTCTTGTAAACAGATGCTCTTCTTCAATATTTTATTATACAACAATGTTAAGAATGATAAATAGCTATAAAGCTATTATGTTATTAAAAATTAATAAATCACCAGGGGAAGACGGTATTACTTCAAATTTCTACCAAATTTATTGGGATGTCATTAAAGACGAATTTATTAAAGTAATTAAATATATTTTCAATAACAGTTTATTGTGCGAGTCACAAACAAAGGGTATGTTATCCCTAATACATAAAGGGGGAGAACGCGAAGTTATAACGAATTGGAGACCTCTGACAATGTTAAATACAGACTACAAAATAATAGCAAAAATACTTGCTGAGAGATTAAAAACAGTCTTACCAAAACTAATACACCCTGATCAAAAAGGTTTTGTAAGGGGAAGGGATATAAGTGATGCCAACAGATTAATTCAAGATATTATTGATTTTGCAGATAATGAAGATTTAGAAGGCGCAATAATATTTCTTGATCAACAAAAAGCATTTGATAGATTAGAATGGGAATGGCTAGATTCTACCTTGAAAAAATTTAATTTTGGAAATAAATACTGTAACTGGATAAAAATGTTGTTAAGAAATGCCAAAACTTGCATTAAAACAAATGGGTTCCTATCCAAATATTTTACAATATCAAGGTCAGCAAGACAAGGTTGTCCTATAGCTCCCTTGTTATATGTATTACAAATAGAGCCGTTGGCTTGTGCCATACGCCAAAATTCAAACATTAAAGGTATACGTATTCCGAACAATATCCAGCATATTGAATGCAAAATCAATATGTTTGCGGATGATACACAACTTTTTAATAAGGATGAAGAATCTATAGAAGAATCCTTTAAAGTTTTAGAAATATATGAAAAGGCATCAGGAGCAAAAATAAATTTTGCTAAAACAAAGGGTTTATACATTGGGAGATCAAAGGGTAAAAAACCTAAATTTAATAAAATACAGTGGACATCAACAAATGTTAAAACTTTAGGTGTGAACCATGGATATGATACTGACATAAAAGCTATTTGGATGGAAAAAATAGAAAAAATTACCAATTGTCTTCATGTTTGGAAAACTAGAAATTTAACATTTAAAGGAAAAACATTAATAATAAAAAACCTAGTAATTCCTATTATTGGATATGAAATTGAAATGAGAGGCATACCAAATATTTATAGTAAAAAGATAAATGACATTATCTGGTCTTATATATGGGATCAGAAAGTAAACAGAGTAGATAGGAATGTTTGCTGCCTCAGTAAAGCTGAGGGAGGATTGGACATGGTTAACTTATTTACATTTATTAAAAGTAAGCTAATTAAAACAATATACAAAATTATGCACTCTGAACTTGAAAACTGGAATGCTATTGGTAAACTCTGGTTACAAAGTAAAGACTTACATCCAAAACAGGAATATTTTTTATGCACCTGTTCTGACCTCTCCAACATTTCTCTAAATAAACTTTCTACATTTTATAAAAATGCATTATTCGCATACAGTGAATTCAGATCGAATTTTCAACCAGAAAGCAAAGATGAAATTTTAAAGTGCCAGATTTTTGGAAATAAATATATACAATTTCGAGGTAAAAGTCTATATATAGAGTCTTTCATTAAATGTGGCTTACACACTATTGATGATATTTGGGATAAAGATAGTAAGTCTTTCAAGACCAATGCATACGTATTTACAAAACTTCTTGATAAAAGAAGTTGGGTTTTTGAATATAGCAAGATAAAAGCTGCCATACCTAAAAATTATATTGATATTCTTGCAGGGAGAAATACTGCAAATACCGGTGATAAAGAAATAAATAACTATTTTGTGTTGTTTGATAATTTCTTAATTGTTAGGAAAACAAATAAGTTCATAAATTTTGATGACATAAAAATCAAAGACCTACAAAGAGTGTTAAACAAAAATGTTACTCCCAAATCTCAAGAAAAATGGGAGAATCTGCTACAAATTGACATTACATGGGAAAGAATTTGGGGGTCAATTTACGAAGCTAAATTAAAACAAAAAATTCAAGAATTCCAATGGAAATGTTTGCATAACATCTTATACACTGAGGAAAAACTACGTATAATGGGTTTATCAAATGGCAAATGCCTTTTTTGTAAAGCAAATACTGAGAGCCAGAAGCATTTATTTTTTGAATGTAAACACGTCAAACCAGTTTTAGAATTGGTACAAAGAATAATTTTACTAATACCTGTAAAGGATTCAATCAATTTTGATGCATGTACTGTTCTACTGGGATTTGCCAGTGAACCGAAAAACGTTCGAATATGTGTTAACACTTTGATTTATATATATAAGTGGTCAATATGGAAAACAAGAAACAGTATCAAGTATGAAAATAAAAAAATAACTACCTCATTGCTCCAAAAAGCATTCACGAAAGAAATGAAATTAATTTTTCAATTGTTAAAAAATGATAAACGCAATTTTAAGGGAGATATGAATTTAACGTTAACTGTATTAACAGAATTCGAGAAACTGTTACCTGTTTTCCACAATCCAGATTTAAGTTAAGCTCCATGTATGTTTTCCCATTTATTCAATATATTGCAATACATTCATGAATCGCACCGGATTGCAAATACAAACAAGAAATTTAGAACCAAAATTGATTCCGGATAAATATTCTCTGTTTTTTGGGTTTTTTTTTATATGTTATACAATTTAATTAATATACATATTGAATGTATGATATGAATACATTATGTGAGACATTGTATTAAGATTTAGATATTTAGCATCCTGCGTGGTGCTGTAGGGATTATTATTATATATTGTTATAGAGGGAGCTTAGTCAGGGCCCCATCCCTGGTAGCTGCCCTATATATCATCTTTAATGTTATAGGTCTGGGAAATAAATGTGAAAAAAAAAAAAAAAAAAAAGAATGATAAATGTAGCAGACTAATATAACGACTACCTTCTGTGGTTTTCTGTCCTGTTTTGCCCCCACTGAGGGCCCCTCAGTTTCAGGTTTATGGTCCTCTATTTTCTTATCCTCAGTATTCTTTGAGGCATTTGCAAACATGCCTGCAATACCTGCTTTCTTGGGGTCTTTTTTGGTCTTTGAAGCTGTTGGGTGACCATTAGTTGTGGAGCTATTGATCTGAGTCACCTGAAGTTTATATTTATGCTGTATGTTATTTTAACCATACCACATCTACAAACTACTCAGACTTGTTTTTAAATTCACCAAATCACACTTGAGTTAAAAGATATAACTGTGTCATCTGAATACATACCATATTAAATTACCCCCCAGATGATGAATTCAAAGGGGTGAAATAAATGGGAGAGAAAATTTCCTGTATATAGTAGTGAATTGTCAGGGAAGAAGAATTTTGATTCACTAGAAACTTCATATGTTTAACATTTATATAATGTTTTAAAACTAAATGAATTTAAAATCACTTGGCTCACAGTAATCATGTTTTATTGTATTGCTGACAGATGACTGGCAGTTTACACTTTATAAACCGCAAAGCGGTTTATAAAAAAGCATAAACTGTTCCAACCCACTTTATACCGTATAAAATGGGTAGCTTTTAAATTCATTCTTTATATTTTAATTTTCATTCATTTAGTTTAAGAAAAAAGATTATTGCCCTTAAAAATGGACTTCAAATTGTACAAAATTCAAATGTAACATCAGGCGGATCGATACGTTTTTTACCCAAGTCATTGTGACGTAGGCAACCCAATTTATATGATATAAAGTAAATTTTTTATCCAATCAAATACTGCGTTATAACTAGAATTAAATTATATAAATAAGAATAAATGCATAAAAAAAAACCCAACATACTTTTGGTTCTTCCTTCACTGGCTTTGCTTGTGGTCTCTTTACATCTGAAGTTGGCTTGGCTTTACCATACTTAATCGAACTATACCTAATTAAAATAAAATGAATCACTAACAGTGGTTTTAGGATTTAATAAACATTGCACTGAGCTGGAAATTAAATATTTTTAAACAATTGCAGGAAAGAAATATCATAGATTTTAAACACTTACTTGTGAACATCAAATAGATTTTCTTTAACGCAGTCATAGTCTGCTAAGTAGAGTGAATTAGAATCCTACAAAAGCAAAATATTTTTCCTCAAACATGTCACATGTACAAATTTGTTCCAATTGAAAGCACATGCATTTAAAAAGAGCTGAAGTTTGAGAAAAAATGTTAAAAGATAAACCTTGAGACTGGCTTTTTGCACACTATATACATGGACGCTGTGGACAGTGGATAGCGAGTTTTTATATGACTCGAGCTCTTCTTCTGGTATAACAGTACAAGTGTACACCTAAAAAAAATAGACCAAAGAAATACAATATTAACTACTAGTAGCATAAAAGATTTTGACAGACTTGCCTAAACAAGTCTTATTTAAAGTTTTGATAAACTAATACTAAAACTGTAAGAGAGAAGAATTTTGAAATAATTTAAAGATTTTTTTTTTCAGTAACCATTATTCATCTCGATCAAAAACCCATCAATTAAATTATGTGTCTAAAAGTAGATTGCTTGTATACTCAGCTTAACTAATTCAAATCAAATGAAGAATTTTGAAAGAATTTACATATTATTCTGATTTCTGTTTTAAGTAACCATGGCAAATACTTTTCAATAAAATCAACCTCTTGAACACAGTAAGGTATCCTGATGAAGTCCATTTTATTGAAATAACATTAAAATTGAATAAAGAATAGCAGTTTGATAGAATTTAACAAATATCATTCCTTTTTAGTAACCATGACAACACAACACTATAAATTTTAGCTGGCTTTATTACTAGGTAGGAGAGCTTAATTAGTTTTATTGGTTTATTTCTCTTTCATAGTTTTATTGCTTTCATTTCAATTTCATTCTACCTTAAAGTCAAATTAATATTATTATGTATGAACATACAATTTGTAAAGTTTTTAAACTGTATATTGATTAACAAATGCAAACTAGGCAAATTAAATAGGTGATGATTTAAAGTTGCAGAATATCACAGATATGGTTGACCAAAGGTCACCTGTTGCTTTTTTTTTTTAAATTCCTCCTTTGCTATTGAATTAAAGAAAGTCAATCAGAAATATAACATTCTGAATGATTTGATGATGGATTAATTAAAAGATTTCACTATGATATCCTTGCTAATATTGAAGGTTTATGAGAATTAAACTTTGCAAAATTTTAAGAAAGGAAGCAATAAGGCCCTAGAGATTTGAACATAGGGCTGGGAATTGCCTAGAGATTTCATATTGTTGCGATTCTGTATTATTGCGATATTTCTAACCGTATTGCGATATGTATTGCAATATTTTCAACAAAAATTAAAATTGTATTTTCTTATTTAATTTACTTCCATTTACATGCAGAATGTACAGAACTATGATGACCAAGATGACCAAGAAAAAATATTTTGATTTAGTTAAAGTTATGCATCAAAATACACCCAATGCAATAGCTTTTGCCTTACTGATTGTCACAATAGCAAACGATTCTGACAACACATATTTTATTTTTATTATAGAAATTCGAGTCCAAGCATTTTGCTGGTATATCGGTACTTCAAAAACATATTGCAATACGATATTTTTGTCAATGGACCACAATATTGGTATTATTGCCCAGCCCTATTTGAACAGTTGTGAATCTCTGTTATTTATGTCTCTTTTAAGTCTTAACCTGGCATCCATTATTGGGTTTAGAGATACCTGACACAAAGTAAGTAGCAGTCACTAATAAGTATTATTATACCTCTATTAAGAATATTCAAATTTGATTGGCTTGTTAGAAGGCTTTTAAACTCAATAACGACTCCAAAAAGTACCATTTACAGCAATTATGACCTAGGAATCATTGCATGTGGGGTATAATGACCCGGTCATTATTAATAAAGACCACTGAAAATGACCTGTTAATCTAAATTCCATTCAAACTAAAAAAAAAATATGCATACAGTAATGATTGTTCATTACTAAAAATGCTGCTATAAAAATATGAATAGTCTTTTTCTGATACGAAATACAACTGGCCTTTAGATGCGTCATGAAATTTATCGTTTTCATTGAAACTTTCCTTACATTGTCAAATTCAATGAATGTAGACTCGGCTCTTTTATACAGTAAAAGTCTGCAATAGATTGTCACTGTACTTGGGAATGGTATTGGTGAATTTATAAAAATGCATGTTACTGACAATCACAGAGTGTTTTAATAAATCAGCGGTGCAAAAACTTACAAAACTTGCAGGTGAAAAGTAAACAACTTCACTAGCAAATCCCGATGGAACACTGACAATAACAGTTCTTGGGTCTAATACACAATTGATTATTTTCGTAATTAAGCCTACAAATATTGTATGAACTTATATTGGTATAATAAAACGATTACCCCTCGACCTGACCAACTCGCTGACCTGACCTCAGCCGCTATGCGACCTCGGTCAGATCAGGTCACCTCGTGGGCCAGGTCTCGGGTCCTTATTTCACCATGTTGACCTCATAAGGGGTAATTAATTGTATATTCACCTGGCATCCATCATTGGGTTTTGAGAGACCTGACACAAAATAAGTAGCAGTCACTTCTTCTTTCTTCTCTCTTTGCTTCTCCACAAATGTGTACAGCATTCTGTAAATGTGTGGTAAATATTACTATAAATTGATATGTTCCTAAAAATAAAATGAAACATTCTTAACAAGCTAATTCAGAGAATTTGTGTTCCCAGCTTAAGGAAAAAAGAAAAGCTTGCGCAGTTCGAGGGGTCACATAGATTATGGAGATTTACGAACAATAGGAGCATGCTGCCAAAAATTTTTCATTGCTTGAGAATTTAGTAGCAAAAAATGAGTGAAAATACCGATAGCGATTTCCATGTATTACATTGGTAGTTTTAATTTTTACTAGCCCAAGGGGCTACCTCTGTGCAGAAAACTACTAGCCCGACCCCCAAAAATGGTAGCCCCGGGCATCAGGCGATGCTAACTGCACACCCCTGAACCTGTATTATACTTAATAACTCTCGAAATGCCCCTGTGCTAAAAATAATGCCACGCGACTTTTAATACAATACATAAAAAAATTATATTTTAAAAAAAAATGGGGTGGGACACTTTGAGAGAGGTAAGAGAAGCCTTAGGGAGTTATGTTATAAAATTTCATTGCAAAAGCTCAAAAGCTTCTTGAGATATCGCCCAGAAACGAAAGTGTTACACACAGACAGAATGTATGAATTTACAACCTTGAACTTTGACCTTTTGACCTCAAAATCAATAGGAATCTTTTAGGCCTATGGCATGTCAAACATTGCAATATTCGATCTTTTCCATTTGTATTGTATAATTTTCCATTTGTATTGTATATTTTTTATTTGTATTCTACAATTTTCTATTTGTATTGTATAATTTTCATTTGTATTGTATAATTTTTATTTGAATTCTATAATTTTCTATTTGTATTGTATAATTTTCATTTGTATTGTATAATTTTTATTTGTATTCTATAATTTTCCATTTGTATTGTAAAATTTCTTATTTGCATGCGATAATTTTTCATTTGTATTGTATCCGCGGATTGTTTATTTGTTTCGTTATGAAGGATTTCATTGGTCACGTTTCTGCCTGTATCGGGTTGAAGATGTTCCGGGTGCTCAAAGCAAACTGGGATCAAATGTATTTGCTTGCTTCCTTGCTTGATTGATTATCGTTTAACGCTGATTCGGCAATATTTCAGCCATATTTCGGCGGCATATGTATGGTGGCAAATAAATAATCTGTCCTTAGAAATAATGACTGAGAAAATGAATAGATTGACCTTGAGTGGTGGAACCTACCCCCACCCCAAAGAAACTGAGTTTTCGGGTTTGGGCAGATTTTCTTCTTTTCGCTTTTCTCCTTGTCTCTGGTCATATTGGAAATAAATATTCTCTCCTGTGAGAGAAGGAAAAAAAAAATAATCGGATTCGACCCCCCACCCCCACCCCTGAGAATCAAATGGTCGTCCCTTAGCATGCACCCAAGTAGAGGAGCCGAGTTTGTGTTTGTAGTGAGTGTGCGGTGGGAGTTGTGGGAAGGGTACCAGACTAAGTTTGTGTTGGGTACCTGAAACCTTTATACAGACTTATGACCAATGATATCCTTCGTAACGAAATAAATAAACAATCCTCGGATACAATACAAATGAAAAATTATCGCATACAAATAAGAAATTACACAATACAAATAAGAAATTATACAATGCAATTGGAAAATATAGAATACAAATGAAAAATTATACAATACAAATGATTTTTTTACAATACAAATGGAAAATATACAATCCAAATGGAAAACTATAGAATCCAAATGGAAAATTACAGAATATAAATAAAAATTATACAATACAAATGGAAAATTATACAATACAAATGGGAAGTTATACAATACAAATGGAAAATTAAAAAATACAAATGAAAAATTATACAATGCAAACAAAAATTATACAATACAAATGGAAAGTTATACAATGCAAATGGAAAAGATCGAATATTGCAACATTTGACATGCCATATAGGCCACAGGGAGTTTTCATGTAAAATTTCATTGCAAAAGCTCAAAGAATTCATGAGATATCGCGCGGAAACGAAAGTGTTAAAACAGACAGAATTTATTACCTTGACCTTTGACCTCAAAATAAATAGGGTTCTTCTTTAGGCCATAGGGAGTTGCTATGCAAAATTTCATTGCGAAAGTTCAAAGGGTTCTCGAGATATCGCGCGGAAACGAAAGTGTTACAGACAGAGAGAAATACAGACGGATGGACGGACAGACAGACCCAAATTAATATCCCCCACTTTCAGTGAAAGCGGGGGACAAAAATCATAATGAAAAGTACACATGAGACATTACTCAATGCACTACATACTGTTTTGCTTCATTCACATGGACATGCAGATTCAGGCTGAGCCATTTGTATGTGACCTGTAAGCATAATAGACTTTTCTGTATTATGTTTCTAATACACAAAAACTTTTTTCTTTGCATTTATGAAAAATAAATTTCAGAAAATATAATGATTATATTCTACTTTCATTTTGACGTTTCATGTAGTGAAAATCGCACATTACTTGTACCTTGCAGAACATTCACATAAAATTTGAAGAATATTAACAATGAAATATATTTTGATTTATGAAAAACTCACTATTTTCCCCTCGTCATTGACATATTCCTCTAAATTTTCTAAATACATCGAGTCTGTCGCCATGATAATTATTACTTCCCGCGCTATTTGTTTACACTTTGCTCACATCCGGTACAACTTTCATTTTCACTTTCAGAATTAATAGTAAAACAAAATATTCTGATTTCTTCATTTACGCCATAATTCTTTTTCCTTTAAATTGATTGAATATTTTCTAGTTTCAAAACTTTTTTCTTCATCACGTCTATTGCGAGAATTTAGTGAGATGTAAACTGTCATGGTGGGCAATGAGCCATTCGTTAGAGTAAACTGAACACACTTTCCACATTATGGCTAGTGACGACGGTGTCATTTTAACAAATGATGATGCAGCGCAGTGTAAGCGCTTTGCAGTAGAAAAGAAGTATTGGGCGGACCCCTACATTTCTCTTATGACACCAAGAAGCTCCGCAAAACATGCGCCTGAAATCAGTAGGGGTTACTATGCCAGAGTGACTGCCATGCGCTCGCTGTTGCACAAGTTCTTAAAAGTTTGTAAAAGAAAAATGAAGTTTAAAATCTGCATGTTTTGTTAAAAGAGTGTTAAATTAAGCGTAATTTGCATAGGCACTCCCCAGCTTAATTGTTAAAAAATATATATCTACTATACTATAAACATAACAAGGGTTATGTTTATAGTATAGTAGATATATATTTTTTAACAATTAAGCTGGGGAGTGCCTATGTTTATAGTATAGTAGATATATATTTTTTAACAATTAAGCTGGGGAGTGCCTATGGTAATTTGGAGTTATTCTATTTTCAGTTAACAGATAGGAATTGTCAAGTTGTCAACTTTGGTGCAGGGTCAGATACAAACTACTGGTTGCTGAAAGATATGGATATGTATCCTAAATCCTTCATTGAACTAGACTTTAAATCAGTGACAGCAAGGAAAGTCAACCAGATAAAACGCCATGAAGCACTTCTACAAATTATTGCTTCAGAAGGTAACGGCAAAGAGTGATACATTAGTGCTTTCAGGGTTCAAGTGAGCTAGTATTTACATTAATACTTTTTAGTAATTGTAACTTTGTAGGCTTTTCAACATGCTTGTATGAAAGAACTGAAAAGTTATGATGGTAGTTTCAGTATAAATGAAATTAAAATAATGTTACGTCTGCTAACAGAGTTGCTACACGTAATTGTTTGAATGTATGCACTATTATATTTCCAAAGAGGGCTTTAATTTGAACACCTCTCATTACATAATCTTTTTCTTTCACATTATACAGAAATATATAGAGAGTTCCACCAGGAAAACCTATTTTTCCTGGTCAAAAAATTTAAATGTTTGTTTGTTACTTCGTGTGCTAATTGCAAAAACTTATAAAAACTTTTACACAAAGCCACAGTGATTGGGAAGGCCATGAAGTTCAATGGGACTATATGGAACAACTGTCAAAATATTTTATGGGCCATTTTGAAAATGAATGGGCCATATGTTATTCTGAAGGGCCGTTAAGAAAACTTAATAAAATGACAGAGATGATATACAAAACACTCTGCATTTTTTTAAAATTAATTACTTTATAATTTTTCACAAGGAGTCTATTTTTATTTGACAAAAGTATGACAATAGGCAAATGGTATGCAAAATATTTCCAACGAACAGCACCAAGACTTATCTTCTATAGAAAATTTAATGCAAACTTTGGCACCATGAATGGTTGATTTGAGTATCATGCTCCATGTCTCGCTTCAATGGGATTATGACACATTTGCACAAGCCTTTTTCCAATCACAGAACACCAACATTATTTTATGGTAGACAAACAACAGGTGATGGTGATGCAGATGAGCATATATTCTACAAAATACACACTCAGCTTAACATCACTCTTCCCCAGTAACCGAACAGGCAATTCCTGGCAATGTCATTCTTCCCCAGTGCATCAGGCTCCAAGTTTTATTTCATAATTTTTAGATCAAGATAAATAAATAGTGTGTTTCCTATTCCAACCTGAGAAAAAATAGGGTAGGTAGGTAGGGAAAACATTTTATTTTATTTTAATATTTTATTGGTAAGCACGCTACCATTTTTCCCCAGGGAAATCGCTGTCAAAACATTTCTTATCATTGTGTATAGGATATGCATTTTCTGAAACACGGAAGTCATCGAGATTAGGATTTCTCATAGTGAAACTGGAATAGTTTACTCCTGGAAAGATATCAGCGGATAAATTTTTTAGGGTCGGCTCATATATTTTAGGGTCGGTCGGGGAACCGAAAACACACAATTTTATTTATCTAAGCCTTATTAAATAATATTTTTAATGTTTGCCTTTTTTAAAAAATTTTTTTTTTAATAATTTTTTTAATGTTTGCCTTTTTTTCAGATGGGGATATAAGATTAAGCAAGTCAGAAATCCATGGGAGTGACTACCATCTTGTAGATGCTGATCTGTCAGTTTTGTCACAAGTGGAGAAAAAACTTCAGGAATCAGGAATAGATAAAACTTTACCAACTCTGTTTATGGCCGAGTGTGTGCTAGTTTATA